GGGACCCCAGTCGGAGCCGGCCCGAGGAGGAGGAGGATCCTAGGACCCAGGTGAGCGAGCCCTGGGAATGCTGCTGCGCATGTGCGGGAGTTGCCTCACCCCGTTCGTATCTAGGGATCCGACGTAAGTCGGATCCACGTAAGTCGGGGACTGCCTGTATAACTGCTTTCATGTTCCCTGTAGCTCAGGTAGTTTCTTTAACCAGTAATGCCACCTTCTTCAGTTGCTGGATTGTGGCTTTGTGGGCATCTTTGTAAGTATCCTTAAAGGATTCCCAATTATATTGACATTTTTCTGATTAAATTCTTCCTCCCAACTGATTTGATTTATAATTGTTTTCAGCTTTCTGAAATTATCCCCTGTACATATATCACTGGTCTGGACTCTATTCTCTTTGCACATTATAAATATGATCATGACACATTCATTTTTAGTTCTTTGCTGATATCTAAGATGGAATTCTTCCAACACTTTCTTAGTTTGGAAATTGTCATCTATAATATTTAGAAATTCCACGGTTTTTTTAGTATTAGCAGCAACATACAGAGAGAGAAGTAGGAGGAAGCAGAGGGAAATGTATGCAAGTTTTTTATTGTACACTTTTAAAAGTATGTTGATCAAGAAGAATAGGGTTACAGAGAATGGAGCATGGAAGGACAGCCAGGAAGAAGAGGAATGTGTTGGAATATTGGGAGGCCCATGATTAGGGGAGAGATCACTAGCAGGCTGACGCACACGTATGTGGAGGATGAATGGAGGGCGAAAATATTAACTTTATGGGAGAAAATAGGCAGATGGAAAATGAGTATGGAGGCAGTCAAAGTTTGAAAAGACTGGTTGGAAAGTTCAAGCATATTGCTAGATAAGGACTAGGAATGCAGATCTTAGGTAGCGAGGGAAAGACTTTTGTTACTACATGGTTACTCTTTTCTGAAAAAGCAGAGCACAATATTTCATCATTCTGAAGTCAGGGAGTTGTCAGCCTCAAATTTATTATCAATTTGTATGGTTAGAAATATTACACTTGGTCCGACTTTCTCCTGTCACTGGATGCTGAATATTGTATTGTGGAGTTGGGAGGGCAAGGGCATGGGAAGGAGCATTTTCTCTGTTACAGCCGTGGAAGAGGAATCCGGTATCGCTTGAGCTAGTTATATGCACTTGTGTGCTTTTGAGAGGCTAATCTCTAGGGGGATTAGTATCGAAATCTGAAGAAAATGTTGTATCTTATAAAAAAGTTTCCTTTTTTCAGTCTGAGATTTATTTATAATGCCGTAGGTATGTGACATGGAATCCCACATGCAATAGCTTCTCAACAGAATGCCGCTTTTGGCTGCTTCACTGGAAACCCTAAAGCCAAGGATGAAAAGTGTTTTTGTCTAGGGGTTTCCCTCATCCTTGGGAGCTTGCAGTTCCTACCTTTCCCTTCTTTAAGCTGTCCTCTGCTCTCGAGACTTGATGTTATAGCTAGAGTACATCCTTCTGAGCAGACTTCCTTCAGCAGCCACTAGCACTGCTCCTTTTATCTCGGGGGTAGCTGCTGGGTGACAGTCATTTCTTCCTGCCTCTTCCCCCCACATTGAATGAGCTACAGAAGTCATGGGACTGGGACCATCATTAAATTTCAGAGCTGCTGTCTGGTGGTTATAAGCATCTGAAGTGAGAAATTCTTGTGGCATTGTAATGTGCAGGGAAGGGGAGAGCTGAGTAACAGGTGGTATTTGGGAACTAATTAATATTTGTGAATAACAGTGTGTTCCTGGTAAGAAAACAAATCCGCTTGTATGTGAATATTTATGATGATTTTTAGTACTGCTTGAATTACACAATCCTCTTCCAGCTGCCGTGTCTCCTCTCATGTCATAACATTTCACAGAAAGGTGAAAGTCTTCTATGGTGTGGAGCCCTGGGATTGGGAGTCAGCCAATTGAGCAGATTAACTGAGTGCAATTTTTGAGCAGAATATTCCTGATAGCTTGGATACTAATGGGCCACCAGGTCCCCAAAATTTAAAATAATTCTTGCCCATACATCAGAGGGGTAGCCGTGTTAGTCTGGATCTGCAAAAACGAGAAGGAGTCCTGTGGCACCTTATAGACTAACAGATGTATTGGAGCATAAGCTTTCGTGGGCAAAGACCCACTTTGTCAGATGCATGTAGTGGAAATTTCCAGAGGCAGGTATAAATATGCAGGCCAGAATAAGGCTAGTGGTTACAAGGTTAATTCAGTCAGGGAGGATGAGGCCCACTCCTAGCAGCTGATCTGAAGGTGTAAACATCAAGAGAGGAAAAACTGCTTTTGTAGTTGGCTAGCCATTCACGGTCTTTGTTTAATCCTAAAGTGATGGTGTCAAATTTGCATATGAACTGTAGCTCAGCAGTTTCTCTTTGAAGTCTGGTCTTGTAGTTTTTTTGCTGCAGGATGGCTACCTTTAAATCTGCTATTGTGTGTCCAGGGAGATTGAAGTGTTTTGTATATTGCCATTCCTAATATCTGATTTGTGTCCATTTATTTATTCAGGATGTATATAGCAGTGGGGCATTGCTGGCACATGGTGGTGTATATTACATTGGTAGATGTGCAGGTGAATGAACCAGTGACAGTATGGCTGATCTGGTTAGGTCCTGTGATGGTGTCGCTGGTGTAGATATGAGGGCAGAGTTGGCACCGAGGTTTGTTGCATGGATTGGTTCCTGAGTTAGAGTTACTGTGGTGTGGTGTATAGTTGCTGGTGAGAATTTGCTTCAGGTTGAGCTACAGTTCGTCTGCAAATTTGACACCATCAGTTTAGGATTAAACAAAGACTGTGAATGGCTAGCCAACTACAAAAGCAGTTTCTCCTCTCTTGGTGTCCAGACCTCCAGATCAGCTGCTAGAAGTGGGCCTCACCGTCCCTGACTGAATTAACCTTGTTACCTCTAGCCTTATTCTGGCCTGCATATTTATACCTGCCTCTGGAAATTTCCACTACATGCATCTGACGAAGTGGGTTTTTTTCCCATGAAAGCTTACAGCATCACTAGCATCACTAGCATCACTTCCTAGCTTGAAGTCAAAATTTTATAAGTGCACTCGCCACTCAATTAAACTCATTAGTGAAAAATATTGAATATTCCAGAACCCATAACTGAACCTTGTGGGGCCTCATTTGAGATGCCCTTCCAGTCTGAAAGCAAACCATTGAGAAATACTCTGAGAACGGTCATTCAAACAGTTGTGCACCCATCTTATAGTAATGTCATGCGGGACTGTGTCAAAAGCCTTAGTAAAATCAAGATCTAGCATGATCTGCAGCTTCCTCCCTATTGACTAAGCTGGTAACCCTGTCAATGAAGTAAACTTGTTGTGTTTGGCATTATTTTTCTTGACAAATGCATGCTGGCTATTCTTTATATCTGCATCCTCCAAGGGCTTACCACTTGATTGCTTCATAGTATTTTGCCACAAAGTAAAGTTCATCTGACTGGTCTATAGTTCTTTGGGTCCTCTCTTCCCTCCTTCCTCCTTCTTTAAAGATAGGTACTGTCATTGCTTTTCTCCAGTCTTCCCCATGTCTTTGTGGAGAGCTTTGTACTGCCTTCTCTATGGTATAAAATTTGTGCCAATATATCATCTCCCCAGTCACGGTAGATTGCAATGCCCTCAGGTTCCATCATGGGGATACAGCTTACCGCAAAGAAAAACTATCGTTGGGGGTTATACTTGTTAATATTTATACCTTACTAATAACTTTGAAGTGCTGTAAAGCTTGATACAGCATCCGATTCTGAATCAGTCTCTAACGTTCACAACCAACACAATATTCATTATTAGGTTTGTGACTAAAACCAAAGACATTCAGCGCTCAAGCGAGCATACTCCTTTGACTTGTCTCTCTCTACTTGGGTGTTTCCAGTGGTGTGACTGAATGGTATCTACTAAAGAATCTGGGCATGACTGAGAGTGAGTTCAATTTTAACCTCACATTTCCTTGCCTCTATTTGCAGCAGGCTGGGAGCTGCTCCAGCCCCTACCAGTTTACCAGAACTAGTTAGCCTCACCCATTTAGGATGATGCTTATGGTTAACCAGTTAACCTTTCACTTTCCTACAAGTATACAATAGGAAATTGGAATTATATATGTTGGGGCTCTTACAAATTTTGTAGGGTATCCAGAGAATAAATACAAAAGAAATATCTAAAAAGCAGTAACATCTTTTGCCTTAGAAATTTATATTAGAAACATGGGAAATTAATCCGAATTGCTGGCTTACATAAATTTCAAACATTTTCTGTAGCTTTAATAAAGGATGGCCATGTCTCAAGATAAACAGCTGTAGTATCCTTCTCCATAGATAATTCATCCCAGCATTTAATAAGCCAGTTCCTGACTGAAATATTGTTGAAAAGCTTTCATTCTGATATGACTGCCATTCTTGCAACAGCGACTCACTGATGAAGGAGGGGGTGAAAAGGTCCAGTATGTAATCAGTCATCACATCAGTACTCCAGGGTTTTTGGAGGCATATTTCACCCACAGGATTTATAACAGGTCTAAATCTTGTGAATGATATGAAACATGTTTAGGGTGGTATTGAAACCTCTAAATATCAGGGTTTAGAACGGAACATGAACACAATCTGAATGTCACAACTGTACACTCAGACTGTGAGTGTGTGTGTGCACTTGCCTTTGTATATGTATCTGTGTATTATAATATTACACATTTTTGAAGCCTACTTAAATGTAATTTCTTACAAAGTAGAAGCTTTAGGGATTTGCATTCTAGTCTTGCAGAGTGAATATGCATTATTTTTGTCTTGCTCTGCACTTAGCATACAGTCTAAGCTTAACAGAAAATAATAAATGATTACTATCCAGGTTGAAGGACAGCACTGTTCAGTCTTAAAATTGTGCCTGAACTCTTCAGGAAATAGGTTAGTTTTTTGCAGATTCTTTTTTTAATAGCACATTTGCGCCCGTGTTTTGTCCTAAATAATCTCCCTTTATTAACAGCTATACTCATGTCTTGTCTTAACAAACAGTTAATGACTAATTCAAGCTCAGACTGTCCCAAACATGGCAGAATGGATCTTTTTTTCTAGGATGTGGGTCTGGGGAGACCGTCTGTGAGATCTGCAACCACAGAGTATCCTGGACTTCGTGCCCTATCGCTGTGTTGTAAGGTTATGGCAGTGCTGAACTGAGCATGAGGCTCGTGTCCTTCCCCCCAAGTTGTCATGGCCGGATAGGAATCTTCCACTCCAACTCCTGGTGGGGGCTTTAACCCTTTCATTCTGCAGATTCCTGTGTATTTGCTTATACAGGAGATTTATTTTTCTGTCTTTTATTTTTCTAGGTGTTTTTATGGCCAGTGTCACACTAGTATTTGAGCATCTCCCTGGCATTTATGGATTTATCCTCAGACTGTCCCTGTGAGGTAGGGAAGCATTGTTACTTCCATTTTACAGATTATGAACTGAGGCTCAACCAAGTTAAGGTGACACAAGAAGTCTATGGTATAGTCAGAAACTAAAGTGTGATTGCCCGTTTTTGCCTTGCTCATATAGATGCGTATGTATTTTTCCTCTCCTGAGTAGTCTTGGCCTTTGGTGCTGGAGTAGGACCCTATGAAAAACATTGCTAGGGTTTTAATGTCCTTTTTAAGTATTGGTAGAAATGTGCTGTAATACATTTCTAAAAATATCATCAGGGCTGTTTGCTATGTTAAATCATTAAGGCATTGACTTGCTACAGAGAAGCTAACAAACATTTCTGCAAGCTAATTCCTTTTTTATCTACCTGCCTAGACTTGAGGTTAGTGTTCAGCTTTTCCCTGTCAGCTGATGTCATATCTATCACCTCAAACAATGCAGAGTATGCTGCTTTGTGGCCTATCTTGGGCGTTGGCATCAAACTGGAGCCTGAATTCATGTCTGGGCAGGTGTCGAATTTCTGATTCACATTTATGTATGATTATTGCTTCACTTACATCATTTTTCAAAGGTCACTCTAGTCCTCCTAGAACGTACACTTTTACTCTCCTAAATTCTCCCACAAGTAAAAATTTCAGTGTTGGATTAGTCAGGGTGTTATGTTTCAAGCAAGTTTATCAGGAACCATGCAATATTTGTGTACATTGAGCTCTGTTTGACAGAAAATAAATCATGAATAGCAGCCTGGAACATGCCCATTTTTTAAAGCAGAGAAGTTTAAGGTAGATTTCCCACAAGCTTTTCCTTCACTTTATCAAGCTGGTATTTAAAGTCTGACTTTTCCTATATTAGAAATGCTCTTAGAGCTACAGCTGAAGCACCAGCAGAATCTTGCAGTTTAATATTTTATTATCTGTTAAAATGAACAACCAAATTAAATGTGGTAACATGGAAAAGGGAATATTTGATGCCTTCTTTCTAATTTAGCACTTTGTAAAATACACACATTACACAATATTTATGCTGTTTATGAACCTATATTATGTTGCTTTCTGTCTGTAAAAATAAAAATGTTTGAGAATGTACTAACTAAGATTAAAGCGTTAGACATTGACCTTAACAGTCAATTAGACTATACACTGCTCAGCAGATATTTGAGGGGATGGGGAAGAGGAGGGTGTAGAAAGGAAGCTAAATCTCATATTTTAGAGATACCATAATAGAGGCCCAACTTAAATGTATACCCCAAATTAAAAAACATAGCAAGAGACCTAAAAAAGAGTCACTGTGGCTTAACCACCATGTAAAAGAAGCAGTGAGGGACAAAAAGGCATCTTTTAAGAAGTGGAAGTCCAATCCTAGTGAGATAAATAGAAAGGAACATAAGCACTGTCAAATCAAGTGTAAAAATATAATAAGAAAAGCAAAAAAAGATTTTGAGGAACAGCTAGCCAAAAACTCTCAAAGAAATAACAAAATGTTCTTCTTCGAGTGGCCCCTTGGGTGCTCCACTCTAGGTGTCGGGTCTGTCCCGGCGCCACTGATCAGAAGATTTCATAGCCATAGCAGGCCGGGCCGCGCATGCTCCTTGCGCCGCTGGTCGTTCGTGCCCTTTCTAATGTGCGCGGTTCGGTCCCCCCACCAGTTCCTCTCAACCGTCCTCGGTTGTTGACGGAAACTGCGATCTCTCTTCGGTCACTTACCTTTTCTCTGGAAAAAAAAACCCCTCTAGTTGTGTAAATAGTTGAGCTTTAATGTTAGTTAGTTATTAGCCTTTGTTTAGTTAGTTAAAAAAAAAAGAGAGAAGACTAAAGAAGATCATTTTAGTCAGTTACGTGCTGAAGCGCTTTTCTTGTCAGTTTCACTGCCATGTCCGGATCACTCGGCTTTAAGCGGTGCGGTCAATGTAAAGATGTAATGCCAACTTGTGATGGGGATACACTCTTCATTCATTGCCTGGGGGAGTCTCATGTCACAAGCAAATGTGCCCACTGCTGTAAACTGACACCGAGGGCAAGAAGAGACCGAGACCTCCGCCTCAAACTCCTGCTTTGTGATAAGGCTCTTCAGCCAATAAAAGACCCGGTCAATTTTCTCCACAAAACCACAACAATCTCAGCACATACTTGCCTGCCATTGCTCGGCCACATGGCGGCGGCCACCTTTGTCATCCCGCCCGCACGTCTCCATTTAAGAAATCTACAGCACTGGCTGTCAACGGTGTATGTCCCCATAAGACACGACATACACAAGTTGGTTACTCCTCCATCCCACGTGCACACGTCCCTCCGATATGGTGGATGAACCCATTAAACATCCTCACGGGAGTACCGTTTCACCAACCTCAGCCATCGGTTCAGTTAACATCAGACGCTTCACTCATCGGATGGGGTGCGCATGGGTGGGGAGCGCATCCAGGGACGATGGTCTCACACCAAGAGACGCCTTCACATCAACCAGCTAGAGTTGCGAGTGATCTTTCTAGCATGCAAAAACTTCCTCCCCAGTCTGAGAGGCAAAAGAGTCAGGGTGTTGACAGACAACGTAGCGGCGATGTATTATATAAACAGACAGGGAGGAGCAAGATCACACTCCCTACGCGCCGAAGCGGTTCGATACTGGAATTGGTGCATACAGAACAACACAACCATAACAGGATCGTACTTACCTGGCATAGCCAATGTCATTGCCGATTCCTTCAGCAGACGCTTCCCCACGGACCACGAGTGGGAGGTGAGGCTGGATGTACGTCAGAGGATCTTCCGCAAATGGGGAACACCCCTGGTAGACCTCTTTGCGACATCCGTCAACAAAAAGTGCCGCCTTTTTTGCTCCAGAGCAGGGATCGGCAAAGGATCTCTCGGCGATGCACTCCTGAGCAATTGGAAGAAGTCGCTACTGTGCGCTTTTCCACCAACAGTCCCCATTCCCAGAGTAATAGAGAAAATCAAGACGGAGAGAGCGACAGTAATTTTAATAGCACCAGCTTGGCCGAGGCAAGCATGGTATCCGTTCTTACACAAGATGTCACTTCGACCACCATGGCCTCTGCCCTTGTACCGAGATCTCCTCTCTCAAGACCGGGGATCTCTCCTTCACCCCAAACTAGAAGCATTGCACTTGACAGCGTGGCTCCTGACTGGCTTACACTAGATGAAAAGCTTTGTTCACATCAGGTCAGGTCCATATTGATACATAGTAGAAAGACGTCTACGCAAAATACTTACCTGGCTAAATGGCGCAGATACTCCTGCTGGTGCCTCCAGAATAACGTTCAACCGTTGACTTCTCCTCCACACCAAATTCTCGATTACATTCTTCATCTGCGGAGTGTGAAGCTTTCTCTGGCATCACCCAGAGTTCACCTGGCAGCCATCAGTGCCTTCCATTACCCAATACAGGGTTATTCGGTGTTCTCTCACCCAATGACGAAATGAGTCCTGAAAGGCCTGACCAATATGAGCCCACCTCGAAGGCCGCCTCCTCTGTCGTGGAACCTCGACCTGGTACTCGATACAATTATGCATCCTCCATTCGAGCCTCTAGCATCTGTACCCTTACAGATGTTAACCATGACGACCATCTTCTTGCTCGCAATTACATCAGCACATAGAGTTAGCGGCGATAAAGACAAACCCTCCCTTTACTTCTTTCTCAAAGGACTTGGTAATGTTACGATTACACCCAGCGTTCATACCCAAAGTATCTTCATCATTTCATATCAATGAACCGATTATCCTTCCTTCCTTTTCCGCTAAGCCACACGCCTCAACAAAGGAGGCCCTGCTACATATGCTGGACGTTAGGCGTGCTCTTTCCTTTTACTTAGACAGAACCCACCAGTGAAGACAAACAGATAGACTTCTGATATCGATAGATAATTGATCTAAGTGTGCTGCACTCTCCACTCAGCGCATTGCCAAGCTTATCATCTTATGCATTACCACATGCCATTCCATTCGGGGTAGACCCTTGTCTTCTCAGCCGCGAGCGCACTCGACTAGAGCAGTGGCGACATCTACCGCCTTTGCCAGAGGAGTTCCATTAGCCGATATTTGCAGAGCAGCCACTTGGGCTTCCAGCTCTACATTTATGAAACATTACGCTATAGTGCAGAAGTGGGCGGCAGATCATACAGTGGCTTCTGCAGACCTTTCGACAGTAAAACCTAATTAACCCGGAGCGCTCTTTGTTCCGACTACTGCTATACAGTCACCTAGAGTGGAGCACCCATGGGGCCACTCGAAGAAGAAGGGAAAGTTACTCACCTTGTGTAGTAACGATGGTTCTTCGAGTTGTGCCCCGTGGGTGCTCCACGTCCCGCCTTTCTCCCCACTCTGGGTTGTTTTCTTTCTTTCTCTTCCAGAGACTGAGCGGTGAGAGGAACTGGCGGGGGGAGGGAGGAGCGAACCACGCACGTTAGAAAGGGCACGAACGACCAGCAGCGCAGGGAGCATGGGCGGCCCGGCCCGGTATGGCTATGAAATCTCCCGATCAGTGGCGCTGGGACGGACCCGACACCTAGAGTGGAGCACCCACGGGGCACATCTTGAAGAACCATCGTTACTACACAAGGTGAGTAACTTCCCCTTTTTTAAGTACATTAGAAGCAGGAAGCCTGCTAAAAAACCTGTGGGTCCCCCAGACGATTGAGATATAAAAGGAGCAATCAAGGACGATAAAGCCATTGTGGATAAACTAAATGATTTCTTTGCTTCAGTCTTCACGGCTGAGGACGTTAGGGAGATTCCCAAATCTGCACCGTCCTTTGTGGGTGATGAATCTGAGGAACTGTCCTGGATTGAAGTATCATTAGAGGGCTTCTGTACCTAATGACTGGAAGGTAGCCAACGTGACACCAATATTTAAAAAGGGGCGATCCTGGCAATTACAGACCGGTAAGTCTAACTTCAGTACCGGGCAAATTAGTCGAAACAATAGTAAAGAATAAAATTGTGAAGCATGTAGAAGAACATAATTTGTTGGACAAAAGTCAACATGGTTT